CATCAGTAATGCCTGTGGGTAACTGGCCTCACGCAACGAGCCTGTGCGTGCAGTCGCGCTGGTAGTGCTCGTAGTTGTGAATGTTACATAATAGTAAGGTATACATATTGAATTCTACATTTTCTACATCTATTGAATCCATAAGTAACACCTACTCAATAATAGCTTCTTCTACAATCTTCGATTCCGCATTTTGACGAAATTTTTTATAAGGTATTTTCATTATAGAAAAGTAATCAGAATAAGCTATGGCTGCGAGATTATACATTCATAAAGTTTCCTTTTTTGCCTTTGACTATCTTCTTTAAGGCCTTAGCGAAATTATAATCAAGGATGTAAAGATGTACCCTGATGTAATATTGACATTTTCATGCCGCGTTTGTCGATGAAAATCATGACGAAGTTGACGAATGCAGTCTAGTCGACTGATAGGCTATAGATAATTTCGTTAGTTTTCTATTACAATTTATGCTGAGATGAACTGACGTTAGCACATCCACGAAATTCTTTAAAAAGTTGGCTCGGGATCCATGCAGCGTAGTACTATTAGTTGGCGCAAAAACCTGCAAGACTATAATCGGCAGAATAAATTTTAATTCAATTCGTCTGAAGTGTGCTGCCACAAATGTCAGCGAAACATTAACTTCAAACCAGCTTCAACGCTGATTCCAAAAATTCATTTAAAAAAAACCTAACTTATATTTTAAAGTAGATTACCTCCAATTCTGATACGAGCGTGTTCTCGGAGTTCCAAGTTCGCGTAAGAATTCTGACAAAATATTATTTAGCTTTTTACAGAAAAACTTGTTCAAAATTATCATAACTTGCTTGGTAAAGGCGATTAAGATAGATGATTCATAAAAATAGTTCTTATTTCTTAGAGCGGAAATTTCATTTTATTTATCGAATTTCTGCATACATAAAATCCTCTCTCCGTTTATTTGTAGAGTTGCGTGCTTCCTTAAAGATTTAATTTTCAATTTGTTTAGGCATAGCCTATACTGATAATTATATTCAAATTGGATCATGCTATTTATGCATTCATAAGCGGTTCAAAACGGTTGCAAAGAAAATTATCATGAAAATGGGAAGTCGCTTCTTTCTGATCACTTATTGTAATTTCTACTTAGGTAATTAGATGAGCGATGGGAAGGGTTGTTATAATGCTTTATACGCCAGCGAAGTGATCAGTACTGAATTGCGCAGTTTTGCAAGTGCAAACCCACTAAGTCTATTTCATCTTTATGAAACAAGCACCAAACACGAAAGTCCCGGAAAACCGTGTAGCCAAAATAAAACCGGCAAAAAACCAACTGAGGGAGATTCTGCGAAATCGTAGGAGAGGAATCTATATTTTCAAACAAATTAGGCTTTTAAGGTTTAGATTCTCAAGCGCGGCCACTTTCACTTATTACATTACTTCAAAAATATGTAATGATTTTATGAACTTGAGTTTCCCAACATGATTCTCACTTCAGTCAAAGCGAGAAATTCCGAATTTGATGGCCAGGTAGCTG